ATGGCGTTGCTTAATGCTACAGGCAACGAGATCAACCCTCATTCTTTGCTGATGCACATTGAAATGAAACTAGGGGAAAAGAGTGTAATAGCAATGGTAGATACCGGAGCTACTCACACCTTTGTCTCGATGAAATTGGTGCAAAAGTACGGGTTGAATGTGAGTAAATGTCCCTCTTACATGAAAACTGTAAATGCTAAAGCCTAAGCCATTGTGGGTATGACTTACAATGTTCCTATGTCAATTGGGAACTAGAATGGGAAAGCAAATTTGATGGTGATTCCGCTGGAGGATTTTGAGGTGATCCTTGGAATCGACTTCATGCGAAAAAATCGCTTTGTTCCAATGCCTCACTTGGACGGAGTAATGATAATGCATGAAATGGCTCCTGGTTTTGTGAAAGTTGTTCATTCTTATGGGAAAGAAGAGACTCAACAAAAGGCTTCATTAGTTACGGCTATGATGGTCGAAAATGGTTTGAAGAGGGGAGATGAGACTTTCCTTGCTTCGATGGTCGAGGTTGAAGCCTGATGTTCAGGTTGAAGTGCCGGACTGTGTCGCTCCAATATTGAGCGACTTCGCTGATGTGATGCCACCAGAATTGCCTAGAAATTTACCACCACGGAGGGCTATTGATCACAAGATAGAGTTGCTGCCAGGTTCTGTGGCCCCTGCTCAACCTCCTTATTGGATGGCGCCAAAAGAGTTGGCTGAATTACGGAAATAACTGAACGAGTTGCTCGATGCGTGATTAATTCAGCCATCAAAAGCTCCATTTGGTGCACCTGTTTTATTTCAAAAGAAACAGGATGGGACGCTTCGGATGTGTGTTGATCACAGGGCGTTGAACAAAGTGACTGTGAAGAACAAATACCAGTTCCGTTGGTGCAGGACCTGTTGGACAGGTTAAGCAAGGCTTGTTGGTTCACAAAGCTTGACTTAAGGTCTGGTTATTGGCAAGTACGGATAGCTGAAGGTGATGAGTCAAAAACTACTTGTGTTACAAGGTATGGCTCATATAAATTCCTTGTTATGTCGTTCGGGTTGACGAATGCCCCTGCTACTTTTTGCAACTTGATGAACGATGTAATGTATGAGTACTTAGATGACTTTATGGTTGTCTATTTAGATAACATTGTTATCTACAGTCGGACTTTGGACGAACATATCTCACACTTGAGAAGGGTGTTGTCTCGTTTAAGAGAGTACCAACACTTGAGAAGGGTGTTGTCTCGTTTAAGAGAGTACCAACTCTATGTGAAGATGCAGAAGTGTGAGTTTGCCAGACAGGAGATTAAATTTCCGGGGCACTTGGTGAGCTAGAAACGAGCGAGGATGGACCCGAAAAAGGTGCAAGTCATTGTGGAATGGCAGGCCCCTAATTCAGTGAAAGAATTGAGATCTTTCCTCGGGTTATCAAATTATTATCGGAAATTCATTGCGGGTTATTCAAAGAAAGCTGCTCCTTTGACGGATTTGTTGAAGAAAGATGCTAGGTGGGCATGGACTGCGAAATGCAGTGGTGCATTTGACCTGTTGAAGGAAGCCATTGCCTCGGAACCTATCTTGCAGCTTCCAGATTTTGAACTACCCTTTGAAGTTCATACCGATGCTTCCGACAAGGCTGTTAGAGGTGTGTTGGTTCAAAAAGGCCACCCAATGGCATTTGAAAGCAGGAAGTTGAATGAAGCAGAGCAAAGATATTCGGCTCGCAATCAGTGTACTAGGAAGAGTCAAGTCCGCAGTAGGAGCAGGGTCAGGTGCAGGACNCAAGTCCACAGTAGGAGCAGGGTCAGGTGCAGAACGAGAACCAGTTGGGCCTTATGTAGGATGCGGACGACGATGATAAGTCAAGAGTGGTGTTCATGTGGCTGGGGATCTAGGAAGAACAACACTAGACTCCTCAATGATTGGTATGGGTGAAACTTCTGTGGTCGAAGTGGAGGAGGAGCTATAATAAACTCCTCAAAGGTCGGTATAGGTAAGACCTCAGATATATCATGGTGGTCAGTAGAGGCAAAGAAAGGTTTAGACTCAAAAAATGTGACGGTCACCTGACATAAGGTACCTATGAAGATCAGGTGAATAACAACGATATCCCTTCTGAAGGAAAGGTATACGGACCACACTTAATCCTAATCCTCATTATGTCAGTTTAAGTTATCATCGTCTGTCATCTCCCCATTATGCTTTTATATCTTCTTTGTCCTCGGTTTCCATCCCAAAGTCTACAGGTGAAGTGTTGTCTCATCCAAGATGTCGACATGCTATGAGTGACGAGATGTCTGCTTTACATGCAAGTGGTACTTGAGAGCTTGTTCCTCTTCCTTCAGGTAAATCTACTGTTGGTTGTCGTTGGGTTTATACAGTCAAAGTTGGTCCCGATGGCTAGGTTGATCGATTTAAGGCCCGTCTTGTTGCCAAAGGATATACTCAGATATTTGGGCTCGATTACAGTGATACCTTCTCTCCCGTGGCTAAAGTCGCATTAGTCCGCCTTTTCCTATCCATGGCTGCGGTTCGTCATTGACCCCTTTATCAGCTGGACATTAAGAATGCCTTTCTTCACGGTGATCTAGAGGATGAGGTTTATATGGAGCAACCACCTGGTTTTGTTGCTCAGGGGGAGTCTCGTGATCTTGTATGTCGCCTGCGTCGGTCACTTTATGGTCTAAAGCAGTTTTCTCGAGCCTGGTTTGGTAAGTTCAACACGGTTATCCAGGAGTTTGGCATGACTCGTAGTGAAGCTGATCACTCTGTGTTTTATTGGCACTCTGCTTCAAGTCTCTGTATTTATCTAGTAGTGTATGTTGATGATATTGTTATTACTGGCAATGATGAGGATGGTATTACCAATCTGAAGCAGCATCTCTTCCGGCACTTCCAAACTAAGGATCTAGGCAGATTGAAGTACTTTTTAGGTATTGAGGTTGCTCAGTCTAGCTCAGGTATTGTTATTTCTCAAAGAAAATATGCTTTAGACATTCTTGAGGAGACATGGATGATAGGTTGCAGACCTGTTGACACTCCGATGGATCCGAATTCTAAACTTCTGCCAGGACAGGGGGAGCCGCTTAGCGATCGTGCAAGCTATAGGCTGTTGGTTAGTAAATTAAATTATCTCACAGTGACTAGACCCGGCATTTCTTATCATGTGAGTGTTGTAAGTCAATTTATGAATTCTCCGTGTGATCATTGGGATGCAGTTGTCCGCATTATTCGGTATATAAAATAGGCTCCAGGTAAAGGATTACTGTTTGAGGATCGAGGTCATGAGCAGATCGTTGGCTACTTAGATGCTGATTGGGCAGGATCACCTTTTGATAGACGTTCTACGTCTGGATAGTGTTTTAGTAGGAGGAAATTTGGTGTCTTGGAGGAGCAGGAAACATAATGTAGTTGCTCGGTCTAGTGCAGAAGCAGAATATCGAGCAATGGCCATGGCAACATGTGAGCTAGTCTGGACCAAACAATTGCTCAAGGAGTTGAAATTTGGTGAAATCAGTCGGATGGAACTTGTGCGCGATAATCAAGTTGCCCTTCATATTGCATCAAATCCGGTGTTCCATGAGAGAACTAAACACATTGAGATTGATTGTCACTTCGTCAGAGAAAAGATACTTTCAGGAGAAATTGCTACAAAGTTTGTGAGGTCGAATGATCCGTTTGTAGATATTTTCACCAAGTCCCTCAGTGATCCTCGTATTGGGTATATATGTTACAAGCTCGGTACATATGATTTGTATGCACCGGCTTGAGGGGGAGTGTTAGTTTACAGATATGTATATAGTCTTGTCCTACATTGGAGTAGGAGTAATAAGTCCTTGTAGTGTATAACTATAAATAAGGACCTCTTGTATTGTATTCTTCATCTAATATTAATAACATATTTTCTCCCGTGCTTTCTCACATTTGTCAAAACAATAATTTGATTGATGGTGCGGGTAAACACCCGTTGTACTGGTGACATACAAAATAATAGAGAACCTACACTAAGATATACTTATCACTTATTGGCTGCACCAAAAAGTGACTAAAAGCAAAAGATTAGTCCTAAATTGTACAGAACTTTTCATTACCTTCTCTCTTTTTTTTTACTCCACAATATCCACGTAAGTGGCAATGCCGTCTACCAGAGTTCTATTGCTTACTTGGATTGTACCAATAAATGGTTTATGTTCTCACTCGTATGGATATTTTTGTCCTGTGCTTCGTAGGCATGCACAGTGACATGCTAGATCTGCCTAAATCTTTATTCAGCATGATGTTCTCCTCTTCATCCTGCTCTGTCCCCATGGTCATTTATCCAGAATTGGATATGTAACTCTGAATTCGCTTCGCTTACTTTTCTTGGCATACAAAATTTACTTGATAAAAAGAGAATTCGATTAGTGGGGTCCATCTTTTGCTGTTTGCTATGTCCCTTCTCATGCTTGTTTCCAGACACAACCTCTTATAGCCACGCCTGTTGATTACAAATCGTTCTGTAATGCAACTTCAGTCCAGAAAGGGATCACATTGTGGTCCCTTCCCAGGGAAAAAAAAGTGAAGTCACGAAAATTCTCTTGCAGCACCGACACTACCCCAAACTTAGTCATTTGCTTTAACTAATTTATCTCTTGTTAAAACAATTTGAGGATCATGTCATTAAGGAGGGTGAATGTTGGATGATTTAAGCCTGGTTTCTTTAAATGAGTTTGCCCTTGAAATAATACCTAGTTTCTTTAAATGAGTTTGCCCTTGAAATAATACCTAGTTTCTTTAAATGAGTTTGCCCTTGAAATTATGCCTGGTTTCTTTAGATGAGTTTGTCCTTGAAATAATATTTGATTTATCATCTAGCAAGATGGATTCTTGTTATTAGGAGTTGCCAATTTTGAGAAATCAAGAGATCAGTTTAGGATCCATAGACAAGCATGTGCATTTCTAAGTCTTTTGTTTTGTTTTCCTCCAAAGATGCTTATTCTTTAGTTGCATTAGTTAAAATAATGGCACATTGTTTGGTAACTAATATCAAGCTATCCTCTGCGCTGAGCTGAACAACCTCTTCCCGCAGGACCTAGAAGATTTCTGTTTCGTCAAACACTGGGCCGTCTCCAGAGTGAAGAGGTAGTCTGCTAAAAATATTTGAGTTAATTATGCCATTTGTGCTAAAACTTTCATATGAAACTCTGGCCAAGAAGCTACATGATTCTGTCCTGCATATATGTCATTCCTTTTCAATTTGATTAAGGCAGTAATTCAACTTTTCAGGCTAAGTTTAGTAAAGCTGAGAAGAATGTGAAAGAGTTGAGCCTGTCTGTTGACTTAATGAAAAAAGAGAGTAAAAAGCTGCTTGAAAGAGCGGCTCTCGCTGAAAAGGATATGAAACGGGGCCTGTCTGAGCTCATGTATGTCTTTTATGTATTTTCGTTTGTATCGTTATTTCTGTAGCTTCTGCATTTGATTATTTAAAATTCTTAGGGATGCTGGAAATCAGATCCAAAGTGTTGGAAAAACTGTTTACAAGGTTGAAGCTCAAGCTGCTGGTTAGTGTACCCTATTTTCCTTATTATTTTACGAATAAGTGCTTTTGCTCATTTCCTCCGTTACCCACTGCTTCTCATTGTTTGTTACATAAGTCTGCAATCGACGTAAAACCTTTCTCTTGAATGGAGTTATGGTTTAGCAAGCAAGTTATTTCCTCTAAATTTACAGAAGATTTGGCATCCAAGTACATGAAAGCATGAGTTTTTGGATAAAACTAGGTATTGCTTTGCTAAATGAATTAACTTTTATCTTTCCAAATTATGGCTCCCATATTGTTTGCACTTGTATCGGAAGAAACCAGGCATTATTAGGAGGCATTGTCCAAATAATGCCTGTTTTTCAGTTTGGAGGCAGATGTAGTGAATAAATCTATTGGTTTGCTTTAACTGAAAAACAGTTGATTGCTCTGCATCTTGTTATCTGCTTAGTGATGTAGTTGATTTAGATTGTTGTATTTTGAAAATATACCTTTTATTAATGCAACTCCTGTCCTTGTATCAAAAAACTTGAAACAAAAGGAAAATCAAGGCCTCATTTGTGTTTTTATGTAAAGAAAAGGTTCCTTTAACCAATGATTTTTTGTTTCATTTGTATTTCGTGGTGTAAAAGAATTGTATAGGAAGTTGGATGGATTTTCTGGAAACTTCATTCGACATCCATGTAAAGCTGACAACTTCTTTGTTGGTGTCAATGAAAAACTTAATGCAACTTCCTTTTTTTCAACTGATAGATTTGATGGATGTGCTGCGGGAAATTCCGGGTAGAGAGGCTTTAAAGCTACGAGCAGAGGTGAGTTCTCTTGGCGAACTGATATTCGTCTTCAATTTTACTTGTTTCATCAATTTCTACTATCTAGTTTTGATTTATATCTGCATTGAAAGTCCTCATCCTTATCTGAGTATGTCACTCAGGTTGCTTCTATGGCGTCGCATCTACGTCAACAAAGGACTGCAATTGACAAAAGGATTGTCAAGGTTTCTGAACTAGGTGTTCCTATATGAGGACTTAGGATGAGTATTGAGGAGGGCTATATCATATGGATGAACAGTTCATCTGCCACCCCCCCCCCCCCCCC